AAGAGGAGAAGAAGACAGAGATTGTGTGATGATCAAAACGAAGATACACAACGAAAAACACGAAGAAACAATGATATATGCAATGCTCAACTCGGGAGCGACCGAAGATTTCATCGACAAAGAAATTTGCAACAAATACGGACTCCATACGAAAAAAGCAAAGAAAGCAAAATAGGTCTACCTAGCAGATAGAAAGCCAAGCGCAATGGGTTCTATAACCCATACAGTGACAGTATCTATGGACATTGACAGCCATAGGGAAACGGCAACTTTTCAGGTATCAAATCTCAAGAACCATGAGATAGTCCTAGGGATGCCATGGTTACGAAAACATAACCCAATGATCGATTGGAACGAGAACAAGATGACCTTTACCAGCGAAATGTGTACGACATGATGTCTCAACAGTTCACCGGTAGTCTACTCGACGCCAATATGAGAAGCAGAAAAAGAAACTTTGCATGCAAAGTTCGCCGAGATGCGACAAGATAAGAGAGTCCAGATACAAAAGCTAAACTAAGAGGCAAAAGTGCCTACCAAGGGTTCCAAAGGAGCAGCAGGACACAACCTGTATGCCAACAAAGAAACTAAGATACCCGCCAATAGGCAGGCAATGATAGCAACAGAGATAGCTATCGGGCAACCAGAAGGCATCTATGGGCAGATAGCACCCCGCAGTGGTCTAGCAGTTAAACATCGACTCATAACCATGGCATGGGTGATCGACTCTGACTATACAGGTGAAATCAAGGTGGTCTTGGCCAACCTAGCTTAAGAGGACTACGAAGTCCAGAAAGGCGATCGAATCGTACAGTTGATCATCGAAAAAATCAACAAAGAGGATCTACACGAAGTAGATCAACTGGAAAAAACCACAAGAGGAGACAAGGGATTTGGAAGCATAGACCAAAACCAGCCTAATATAACAAAAAGAATCAAGATCAAGGAGATCACAGTACAAGCCTTTGAATGGTACTATCGAAGAGGAAATATAACAGGAATTCTCAAATGAACATACGAAGACAAAAAAGTAGTCCTAGCAAAAACCAACATCAGAACGGAACTAGCAATCTAAGATAAGAAATACCAAAGCAAAAAAAGATGGAAAGAATTGATTCCAAAGAAATATCATCAATTCACGAACCTATTCCAAGAAGAAGAAGCTACAGGGCTACCATCCCGAAGACTAGGAATTGACCACAAAATTCAGCTAGACAAAGACAAGAAAACAGAAAAACAAAAGAGATTCCCTACAAGAAGTTATACCCACTAGGAGAAGCGGAGCTCGAAGAACTTAGAAAGTACATCGAACAAAACCTCAAGCGAGGATGGATCAGAGACTCCTTTGCATCAGGAGGATCTCCAATACTATTCGTTAAAAAGAAAGATGAAAAAATGAGACTCTGTGTAGACTACAGAGCCCGCAATTCAGTTACCAAAAAAGATTGATATCCACTACACTTAATAGGAGAGGCACTGGATAGACTACAGTCAGCAAAAACTTCACCAAACTCGACATCAAGGACGCATACTACAATATACACATCAAAGAAGGAGAAAAATGGAAGACTACATTCACCTTAAGATATGGGATGTTCGAATACTTGGTTATGCCTTTCGGGCTAACCAATGCACTGGCTTCATTCCAAAGATGGATCAACAAGGTACTCAATAAGTACCTCGACATATGTTGCATCGTATACTTAGACAATATACTCATCTACTTGGAAAACATGCAATACCATCAGAAGGATGTCAGCAACATTATGGCTGCAATACAAGAATCAGGAATGAAGATCAAACCAACGAAATGCGAATTCCATAAAGAAGAAACCGAATACCTCGGATTTATCATCAATCGGAGTGGGGTCAAGGTAAACCCAGTCAAAACAGCAGCAATATGGGATTGGGCTAAACCAAACAACAAAACACATGTTCAATGCTTTATGGGATTCTGCAACTTTTATAGAAGGTTCATAGAAGGGTTTAGCAGGCTTGTAAAACCACTCTATAACCTAACCAAGAAAGACAAGAAATGGGAATGGGGAGAAACAGAACAAAAAGCATACAATGCTATCCAGACACATCTGATATCAGCACCAATACTGGTACACTTCGACCCAAACCGAAAGACAATGATTGAAATAGATGCCTCGAAATATATGTGTTCAGGCATACTATCGCAACAATGCGAAGACAGAAAATAGAAGCTAGTATCTTATCGATCCAAGACAATGACCCCCGCAGAGTACAACTACGATATTGCAAACAAAGAACTATTAGCAATAGTTCAAGCATTAAAGGAATGGAGGAGACACATTCTGAACAACAATCATCCAGTCTGAGTTCTAACCGACCACAAGAATTGGGTCCCGTTCATGACTACAAAGGAATTGAACGACCATCAGATAAGGTGGATGGAACACCTCAGCAAATACAACTTCAAAATCAAATACCGACCAGGCAAAGAAAGCAGGAGGCTAGATGCTGTCACAAGGATTGCAAGTGACAAACTACAAACAAAAAAAGATAAAAGGATCAAACAAAAAACACAAACGCTATTACCAAAAACCTACTTCAAGGCAATAGAGGTTATCCAATTCACATCAACGGAAGAAAAAGAAATCAAGAAGGCAAACAAAGGGGACAAAACAATTCAGGAAATAAGAAAAGTATTGAAGGAAGGAAAAAAGAAGATGAAAGGAATCGCTCTAGGTTTATGCCAATGGGAGGATGGAAATATGTAGTATGACTGAAAACAATGGATTCTGGAAGAAGAAAAGATACCAGACATCATACAACAACATTACGATATCCGAACAGCACGATGCAGAGGAACGGCAAAAACTACAGAATTCATCACGAGGTCATTCTATTGGCCAGGACTGCGCGAAGACGTCAAAAGATATGTCAAGAATTGCGACATATGCCAAAGGACGAAAACGGCTAAACATGCATCATACAGATTACAGAAATCGAACGAAGTTCCCAAACAACCATGGAAAACAATTACTATGGATTTCATCACAGACCTACTGTTGTTGGAAAAATGCGATAGTATCCTGGTTGTGGTGAATCGTCTGACTAAAATGAGTCATTTTATTCTGGTCAGAAAAGATATGGACACGAGGGATTTTATACAAACATTCTTCCAAGAAGTCTTCCAACTTCACAGCCTCTCAAAGAATATCATTACCGACCGAGGAACATTGTTCACATCAGGACTGTGGAAAAAAGTAACCGGAGAAATGAGGATACAAAACAGGCTGAGCACAGCATTTCATCCACAAACAGATGGACAAACGGAATAGTAAATGCAATACTCGAACAATATTTATGGGCCTACACCAATTACCAACAAGATAATTGGTACAAACCACTATCAATAGCCAAATTCGCATACAACAATGGTAAACAAGAAACAATTGGCACAACACCCTTCTTCATTAATTACAGATAACATCCATAAAGTCAGGCCACATATCATATGATTAACAGTATAATACCGGATAAAACAAACATGGGAAAACTACATGAGACATTACAATACAAGATGAGTCAAGCACAACAATGGCAAAAAGAACGATACGATAAACACCGAATACCAGATCCAAACATACAACCGGGAGATATGGTATGACTAATATCACGCAATATCTATACAATGCAACCATCAAAGAAATTGGACTACAAGAAAATTGGGCCATTCAAAATACTGGAAAGAGTGGGCAACCAAGCTTATAAACTCAGCCTTCCCCCCTCAATGTGAATATGTAACGTGTTCGCAAGGTGCTAATCACTTTATTGGTAATAGATACAATAGTTGGCAGGTGGCCTGCTCTTCCAGAGTGGAGGTGAGAGCTGAGAACTAAAGGAGGCTTCAGAGGTGTACTGAGGAACAAAGAAGTAACTGTTCAACCAAGTATATTGAAATACTGTCGGTCGAAGTCTGCCTTTTCTATCGTAGAAACAGGCAGTCTTTAAATACACAAATCTGTTCATGTTTAGTATGAACGAAACTAATCAAAGGTATCAATCAATACACTTTGGTAAAACTAATTAAGTATCAAAGTGATACTTAAAACAAAACATAAAACAAAACTAAGTATCAAACGATACTTAAAACAAAACATAAAACAAAACCAATAACCGAGTACCCGTACTGGTTACAGAATACACAACACATTCCACATCTCACTCCTCAAATTAGACAATGACAATAAGTTTCCCTCACAAACAATTATTCCTCCCCCTCCGATTGAACTTAACGGAGAACCAGAATACAAACTCGATGAGATAGTTGATTCTCGCTTGGCCTACGGAAATCTACAATACCGAGCCAAGTGGACCAGTTATTCACCAGAACACGATAAAACTTGGTACTCCACACACAACTTCGAACACGCATAAGATATCATCGCAACCTTCCACCAGTGATACCCAGGCAAGCCCGGCCCAGGTAACTATCACATTCAACCAAGACAAAGGCGAGGGAAAGCCTCCTGCGCCATTGCAACCACATGAGGGCTGGGGCAATAGCCCCCACCAAACCACACCAACCAGCCCCGAATACTCATTCATGGGGCTGACCGACGAAGAACTCAAGGAAAGGGAAAAACAAGCACAGCATAACGCCAAGTCAGGGACGGTATACTACAATGATGGATGTCCCACACACTATGGGGACAAGGAAGGCTTGGGGTGGTTCCCGAGAGAATATAAAAAGTATGGTCCACACCTGGACCATGCCCTAAAGCACTGGAAACAGTGCTTCAACAATACATGCAAGATGCACAGGATGAAGAAAATCACTGCAGGATACTACCCGCAGAAGGATGGAACAAAGAAAGAGTTGGACGAAAAGGACGCCACGATATGGCAGAGGGCTACCGGTATCATAATAATAATTATGATATAAAAAGGAAACAAGACATATTTCCGAAAATGAGTTGTACGTTAGGGCGTTAGGTACAATTTTTACAAATGCCACTGGAATAAATACGGTCACGGTACTATTTTATACGATAACTCTGATTGCATTACCCAATTATTTATGATATACCATTACCGTATCCCGAACCCGACCCAATGAACCCCCCCCCCAACCAAATGAACAACTCGAGTTAACCCACTCAAGGCCCAACCCACTAGACAGCTTGCTCCTGAAGCACATCCCTACGGGAGAAGAGGCCATACTCGTCGTAGTTGGCGACCAACCCGCCTAAATTCCACTGGGTCAATTTGATAACGAGAAGCGACTTCGTCAAGCTTGTGGTCTTTGCGGGGGTTTATCACCTCGCGCACCTTGTCGCAAGGAGCGTTGCAGAGGATTGCGGCCGTTCGGTAGAATTTCCAGCGCAAGGTGTACTTTGCCAGCATGTACGTGTACAACAGGGCATCGCGAGAGGCAACAAAGGGGGGCAACGTCCGGACGGGAAACCCATCGTATCGAGCGCGACTGATGGAAAAGATGACGTCCGATGTCTCGCTGAACTTCCGCAAGGATGTCTTTGCGGTCCGGCGTTCCTGTAGTTCCTCGCGAAGTCGGTCTCGGTACCAGGACGGTGGTGATTGACGCGATAGACCTAGCATTCGATGCCACCGTCTTAGAAGCGCATCAACCGTTGGACGCATATTCGTTTGACAATTGATTGATGCGTGGTGGTTTGCCGAGGGAGTCTACTTCTTCGTGTGCTTTGGGGAGAGGTGAGTAGAGGCGGGAAAATGTGAAGAGGACTCGTATAGTCTCCTCCACCGCGGGGGGGGGCATGGAGAGACTGGCGAACAGGGGTATCTTATGGGGAATAAGTGAGTTCGTCAAAGCAGGGTAACCCAAAATTTACCAGTCAATAATCCCTGCTCGCCATGCGCATAGTGGAGACTAACCGTGCCAAGGCTTTTGCAAAAACAAGGTCGGATTGCAAACGTGACTGAACAAACGACTACTCTATTCAACCTACACTTAAACTACTGTACTCATGCAAGAAGGCAGGAATCTTTATCATGACTTTTTTATTTTTACCACTACACTCTTTGTTTATCATATATCACATTACCGAGTTGTGTAAAGTATTATTTGAAAAACCAGGGCCTGGCCTAGGTATATCGCACCCGGATACTTTTTCTGCCACAGAGTTTGATACTCGAGTACAGTACCGTTGATGAGCTGTGCCAATTATGCTGATCACCTCTTGCTTCCTCATACAGAACCCACCAATCAACAGTTGAAGCTGGGTCGGCAAACGAGGATATCATAATAAATTATTTGAACACCAATCAGCATATGTCCAAGTAACCTGGGAGACTGTATATGGCCAAGTACCAGTATTCCGCCTGTCTTCCCCCTACCGTACTCATACTTGTACCTACCGGTATCGAGGCCCCTGCTCGCCATCTCTTTTGACCTTGTGTTCGGGTTCATACATACCTGTAGACAAACTACAAACACAAACCCTTTAAGAGGGGGCACAAAAACCACTAATCTGCGACAAAAGAATTCCCCCGAGCTCATCATCACTCCCCGTCGCCATAATCACTCTTCATTCCCCCATCTTACGGGAGCATGTCACCCAACGCCTCCACCTTCCCACTTATCTCAACCATCCCACCACTCCCTACCTCCCACCTCACACCCCAGACTTTTACCATGGCCGGCAAAGCCAACCCCTCTTCCTTCTCAGGGTCAACGGTACCACCCACCTTCCTCCTCTTTCCTCTATCCTCCAGCTGGGTGACCATCCCTGCTAGGCTCCCAACTGACTGCTTCCTAGAGGATTCCCTTGAAATCCTTTCCTCGTCCGGTGACGGCGACCTCGGGCTTAAAGGCACTCGCCCCCTCGTCAACCCCTCTCGCAGTGACTTAACCTCCTTCTCTAACGAGCCCACTGCTCTCCTTGGGCCCTATTCAAGTAATAATTTCAATTGCTAGGGTTGTAACAGTGACGGAACATTTTCGGGTTCATTAATTCCGGCGACTTGTGGATGTCAATACCCTGGGGAGGGAAGCGGGTTCAAGCGGGGGGGGGAGGTTGGGGCAGTGAGTTCGTGGCGGGAAGATGATTGTGGTTGCATAACCAATAATCAACCATCGAACGCGACAAACGCTATCAACAATTCTCGACGCAGGATGGTGTTTGCTGCAAAATGCTCTGATACCGTAAAATCTTGCCAATAATGAACTGGCTTGGGCTAGGGCAATTTGCAATCGACCAGGTTTCTGAGCTTGACGATAGGCCAAATATCTCTGCCTTTCAAAAATTCCCAAAAACTTTGTTTTCTTAGTACTGGAGACTCTGAAAAGTCCTAGTCCGGGCCAGTTCATTATGGGCGAGCTTTTGCAATGTTGTAAGTATCTTTGAGTGTATCTAGGTTCTGCTAAATTAATACCCGCAGGAGAATCATCACTTAGGAGCGAAATAAAGGATGAATTGAGCTTGTTCTTATTGCACAGCATAATCTACCCGAGAGGCCCCTTACATTTCAACTTCCCCGGACACAATTGGACGGTTCCCATTAGATGAAAGTTAGGCCTCCTGCATTGGATGGGATGTTTTGGGAGGCCTGAGAAGGGTTTTTTTGGGGCGCCGCTGAAAAGGGTGTTTTTGGGAGGCCTGAGATGGGTATTTTTCTTGGACAACTGGGTTGGTGTGCAACCCCGCCCTGTCGGCAGCCTTACATTTATTCAATGTCCCCTTCAGTCTACTGTCCGGGTCGGTAAACCAATCGGCGAACAAGGGCATATCCAGGCAGCTCTGTGGATCACTTGATTGCAATTGCGTACAGAGAGTCCATTAAAATGAGACTGGCTAGAAATCGTTGAATATAACCAGCTGCCGCGACGTTCCATCTCATCTTACGCCTGCTGCATCTGGTGGTGAGATATCTCATCAATCATTGAATTACCTCAACATTCATCTACCATTCGTGAAGACCCATTCCTGAAGACTCAGGCAATTTTTATGATGGCTACCGGATGCAAGAACGCATCAACCAGCATTCCGGGCCCAATGGCGGATCCTCGGTTGAATCGATCAACAACACGGGAAAGTCGGTCTACTTCTAAAGTAGTTGGTATATACGGAGTTCCCGGCTCCGGCAAGACTTTTCTGTTAGACCAGCTGAAGCAAGAACTCGGGCAAGATCATTTCGAGTTCTACGAAGGCTCCAACATGATTGCCAATCTTGTTCCTGGCGGTCTCGGCGCATTCCAGAAACTAGACGAGCAAGAGAAGCTGCATTGGCGCCAGCTTGCCATCAACACAATTGGAAAGCAATGCGCCGACAGCGGACGGGTTGCAGTCGTCGCAGGACATTTCATGTTCTGGCCCAAGGAGGAGGGAGCTGGACAACCAGTGTGCACTCCAGCTGACCTAGACATCTTCACACACATCCTGTACTTGGACGTTCCTCCCGAACTCATAGCACAACGTGTTCTGGACGACACGGAAAGAAGTCGTGCGCTTCCATCCATCAACCATTTACACAAGTGGCAGCAGACCGAACAGACCCAGCTGCGCCACCTCTGCCGCCATCATGGGATTTTGTTCTCCCTCGTTTTTCCGCACCCGACCTTGCTGGAAAAAGTCTCGACGCTGCTACGCGATTTTCGGCATCATACCGAGGAATACAACCTGGCTTGCGCCGAGAGCAGGATTGACGAGGTCCTCGTCGCCGGCGGGGGACAGCTGGAGACGGTGTTGGTCATGGATGCCGACAGGACGTTGGTGGCAAAGGACACTGGTGCGTTGTTCTGGAAGACGGTCTCCAACTCTCGGCGGTCGAGGGACGAGGAATGTCCGCTGAAGACGTTGTTCAGCGGCCCACTGGGTTACTCGTACACTGCTTTTCGCCAGGCCGCTTTGCTGTATGAAGAAGCGGTCATGGACGAAGAGTTTAATGTCCTTTGCGATGAAGTAGCATCGACGATGACTATTCATCCCGAGTTTGTGTCGCTGTTGCGACTAGCAGAGGAGCGAGAGCATGTTGTCGCGGTGGTTGTTACCTGTGGCATACGTCACGTCTGGGACAAAGTTTTGGAGAGGGAAGGTCTATCCAAGACGGTAAAAGTCATCGGTGGAGGACGTGTCGCAGACGGGTTCGTTGTTACTGCTGCAGTGAAAGCCGCCGTGGTCGCCCGTTTGAGAGACATCCACCACATGCACGTTTGGGCGTTTGGAGACAGTGTGCTGGACTTGCCAATGCTGAGCAAGGCAGATCAAGCTATTGTTGTGGTTGGCGAGGAGGAGACTAGGAGCAAGACTATGGACGAGGCATTACTAAACGCCATCGACAATGACGGTCTTCGAGCACGACAAACTTTGATACCTGGTAATGTGCCCCCACGTCTGGACACAACTAAACTTCCACTAGTCCAGCTCGCCGACCCTAAGTTTATCGATTCTCTTATCCACCAGCGTACTCGACATCCTCTCCAAGTACTCCACGCAACAGACAGGGGCGCTGCTAGGCTGCTCATGACGCCGATGCGCGATGCAACGGTTGCCGGCCCGGCCCTGCGGGAAGCCCATCGCCGTGTCGGATGGTATCTGGCCACTGAGTTCTTGACGGAAATGATTGGGTTGGAGGAATATCAAATTCCGCATGTACAGGGCCACCCGACCACTGGCTATCGGCTTTGCCGCGAGGAGAATACATCGATTGTGGCGCTGATGCGCGGTGGAGAAGCTATGGCTCTCGGCGTCAATGACGCCTTCCCGCGCGCGATGTTTGTCCACGCAAAACGCCCCGAGGACATTGAGCCCAATCACCTGCGGCAGCACACCGTCGTGCTGGTCGATTCAGTGGTGAACAGTGGCAAGACGGTAGTGAACTTCGTGAAACATATCCGAAGTCTGCATGCCACTATTCGAATTGTAGTTGTTGCCGGCGTCCTCCAGGCTCAGTCAGTTTCCGAGGGCAGTCCTGCACATGCACTCGCCCGTCATGCGGATTTCAGTCTTGTTGCACTCCGCCTCTCTGACAACAAGTTCACTGGCAGAGGAACCACAGACACTGGCAACCGCCTATTTAACACGACACATCTTCCCTGAGTGTATTTGTTGGCTGCGGGTATGAGGGCGCGGGTTGGGTGTGAGGGTGAGGGCGCACCAACGACCGTCCTCTACCAACCATCGTCCTCGCCGACACCCTACTACCTACTACCGCGGCGACTACCACAGCGTTTTTTTTTTTGTTTTCATGCCTTTCTTTTTTATCTACGGATTTTCTTGCTAAATAAGTGTTTTTTATCATTTTTCCTACCCAGAAGTTGTGCTACTTTTCATTGTTGATGCTTGATGGTAAGGTATGATAGTTGACGAGGGGCGGCCGCTGTCGCGAGTTTTTCAAATATTTATGCACCCGAGTAAATCTACGCAGTAGGAGTATCATTATTCGGTAGAAGGCTTCAATAGAGAGTTTGCACAAGGAGACCTGATGGTAGGAAAACCTATTATTTGGGGTTAACCAAAAATCTTGGACACCAGGTGGGAGGTGAGACCTGGGGGATGTGTAAAATATCAGTTTTTAGACCCGGAGAATACCGATAGCTGTATAACATCATGTCGGCCACAAACAAGGAAAGTCAACTCAAAAAGCTATAGCAAAATACTCTTTCTGCGATTTGAAAATTCTTGCAAGTTTATTTATTCTACAGTGCTCTCTTAATGCTTCCCCTCTTTTAACTGTTATGTCGAGTAATTGCAGTCCAGAGTTTCTGCAAAGTGCTAAGTCATCGAAGTTGTTTGCTTCTAGGATTGTTTTGCGACTCCTTTCCAGTGTTTTTATTGAAGAAATTCTGTGCGATAGTCTACGCTGATCCTATCATTACCCAGTGACCAATTCCCCGGGCAACATTGTTGAACGTGCAACCGTAGCCCGGGGGGGGGAGGGGAGGGATCCTAATTAAGAAAGTGCCAAGCAGGGCTAGGTCACCCTGACAATTCATACGGAGGTACAGCGCCTACGGAGGTACAGCGCCTAAGTGTTGTATATTTCACTAGCAGGGGAGCGATCGGCTAGCAGGGGAGGAGGAGTAAATGAGGCATAGTGGCATATGTGAGTGTGGCTAGGAAATCTGAAAGATACTGTCAACGGTAATCTGAATGGTAGTCTGAACAGATGCAGTATGAAAATGTATTTTGAAGTAACGGACATGTATCTAATATTTTGTAAAAAGCCCATTTGCATCAATAACTGCTTGACATCTAGCTGGCATGCTTTCTACCAGCTCTCTAAACTCATATGGTCCAACATTTGTCCAAGATTCCTTCACTGCCTCCCTTAATCTATCATAGCTCATATTTTCTGGAAAATTATCTTGTAGATAATTTTTCATAATATGTCATACCCTCTCAATTGGATTCAAGTCTGGAGAGAAAGTAGGCCAATGAATAACCTCAATGCCTCTTTCTCTTAGCTCAGTTCTTGTATCTCCTGCTGCATGTCCACGTGTACCATCCTGCATCAGCTTTAAAAAAACCCCATTCCTTCTACACAATTCAAGATACCTATGGATAATAGGTACTGTATGTGCACAATAGCTCTCTGAATTTATTGGGCCCCAATCCTTCTCCCAAAAAATTCCAGGACCTTGAATATCCCTATTGAAACAGCCCCAAAACATCCATCCTCTTTTCCTTTGATGCTTCTCTACAATACAGGTAGGATCCCACTCCGTACCAGCTCTCCTAGTCACTCAGGTTCTGGTATGCCTCCCACCAGTAATCCATGTTTTATCTGTCTACAGAATTGAGTTCCACTGCTCCTGTGTCCAATCAACATGTTGCCGAGCCCACTCAAGTCTTATTACTTGATTGTGTTCGGTAATTGGGGGTTTTCTCATCACTAGTTGTCAGTGAAAGCCCTCCTTTATTAAGGCTTCACGAACCACTTTTTTCCCAACTCCTAAATTCAACTCTATCGAGCTTTAGTTAGCTATTCACTATTTTTTCAACCTTAAAGTTTTTTTTTTTTACCTTCAGCTAGTTGCTGAAAAGGAAGTCTCCTATTGCGTGATGACATGCACACATATACCACAAGGTCTTCAATTTGTGCCTGAGTTAAGACTAGAGGACAGCCGGACTTCTTGGTAGGAGTTGCCGGAGAGGTACACGCATATTGGACTTGGTGCCATGAAAACCCTGTCTTTTCTTGAATTTGAGCATATTTCCAACCTATCGACTGAAGTAGCTGACAATCTCAGCACTAATCTCGAGTCAACTATGATTTCTTCAAAGGAGGCATCTTTGTCGATCAGGACATGAAGAAAAAGTCTACAAAAAATTTTCAACTTCGCTTGCGAACTTCCAAGCTGCTATCACCAATTTGCTCCCCACTATCCCCTATTTACTTCCCCGCCCCTGCTAGTTTAGCACTCCCTTGCTAGCGGAATATACAACACTTAGGCGCTGTACCTCCGTAAACGGTGTGGGCAAATCCTGGACTCTGGGGCGTCGGGATACCACATAAAATGTGCTGCATAGGATCTTGAGCGTGAGTAGTGGAAAGGTATGATACCGGTATGCCGTTTCGGTAGGGAAACCAGATCCTGTTTCGCAGAGTCAAGCTGGGGTTAGCTGCGTGTTACGATACCATCAGCAGATCGAGAACTACTGTATCGCATGTATCTTGAGGACCCTCTTGTGCGTACCCCCCCCGGAGACGATTTCACTTCATGTATGATATTATCGGGAGCCTTTTTGTCCCTGAATTCGGAGACTGGAGAGCTGGCAGGCTTGTTTTTTTTTTTTAGGGAGTCTTAAACTTTCTGATAGCGGTAGCAACCTCCACTCACTAGAACGCGCAAACTCCTCTTCCAGGAGTAGTTGCCCTGGGGTGGAGGCTCTGCGGGTGAAGTGCCGTATTACATAACTCGCCTAAGAGCGCCGTGTGCTAGAGGGTCAATTTAAGGTGAAACATCGCCTCATTGACGTCGCAATGGCAGACAAGGTCTGTGCATTATCAAACATACCCTGTTCAAGTTTCAAGTTACTGTACTTGTAGGGGGTTGAAAATTACTCACTGGATGTGAGTATTACTATTACAATATTGAAATCTGTATCAGAATCAAGCTATAGAGAGGAACTATATCGTTGGGTTCAAGCAGTAGAGAGGAATTGTTTTCTTGGGTTCAAGCATCAGGGAGGAATTGACTTGTTGGATTCAAGCAGTGGAGAGGAATGATCTCATTGGATTTAATATGTTTTTAGAAGGTGTGGGTGTGGTGGGAGATTGCTCATTATGTTTGAATATCTCACTTATGTTATTGAAATCCTCCAATCATAATCTTTGTTTACCCTCCAAGAACCAGCAGAAGTGCGTGCAGAGTGCTGCACTCCAGTAACCCTGCTCCATGCTGGTACTGTACCATGGCAGCTGGAGTGCGTTCGGGTTGCAAAACCCCGATATTGTGTAGAATTCAAGTTCTGTTATTGAAACCTATGGTCAGTGCTTCCAGTTGTCCAGTCCGTCCTAGAAAGGGTCGGGATGACGGAGGACAACAATGTCTCGTCCCCGAACAGACTAGATGGGGTGATGGCGGTTGGACAACACTAGTCCTGGGTTTCCTTTTATGGATACCATTTTATCCCATTAAATTTTTATTTGTTTTACCTTATTTTTGTTTTAACTTATTGTAGCACTAGTGTGTGTCTTACTGTGTGGCATTGGGTACATTGACCAATTTCAGTCGACTGCCGTCGGCGACAGTCGGACTGGACCACTGGGAGCACTGCCTATGATACTAGTCATCATCAAACTTCACTAGCCTCAACAGAATTTCCTGAGCCACGGTAGAATGTCATTAGCCACGGGAGAATTCTGCTTCATTTTTCACTATGATACCTTTCAAGCTAAACTATTTTCTAAGCCCTAACATACCTTTCCAAGATCCAGCTGACATGCTTAGGGCTTTTCCCTAATGATGCACACACAACCCTAATCATGGCCAATAACCTCTCTCTGGGCATAAGGTTCCTCGAGATATTTGCTCTCCTCCGCAGTCAATCTTTTCCCACGAATCTCCAACCCTTGCGCAACCCTCTCAATGCTCCCCATCCCCACTATCGGCGCTGTGACCCTCTCGGCGACCCACGCACAGGCAACAGTAGCCATACTCCATCCCTTCGTCTCCGCGACCTCCTTCACCCGCGCAATGATCTCCTTATCGCTCTCACTCTTGCCCACGCCGAATATGCTACCCTTCGGCTCCGACGCTGCTCGCATCGTTGTATCGATGTCCGGCTTCGCCAGGTATCCTCGAGCGAGCGGGGCCCAGGGGATTAGACCTACCCCCGTTGCATTACAGTATGGGATCATTTCCCGCTCTTCTTCACGGTAGAGGAGGGAGTATTGGGATTGCATGCTTATAAAGGGCGTTAGGTTGTATTGGTGGGCGCTTTGTTGGTAAAGGGCGAATTGCCAGGTTCTCATGCTTGAGGCACCGATGTAGCGAACCCTATTTCGTGGGGGATTTAGCTACAGGCTAAGAGGGCAGGGATGTGTTGGGTGGAGAAGCATACTTTCCAGCTTTCACCAAATCATGCAACGCTTCCATCGTCTCCCTCGCTGGCGTCGCAGGATCCGCACGATGTATCTGAATTAAGTCGATGTATTCAATCCCCATTCTCCTCAAGGAAGCTTCCACAGCTCCGAATATCGCCTTCCTCGAGAGCCCCACGCGGTTCACCAAGTCCGCCGCTTGTCCGGGCTCCCGCGTCCAAAAAGCATGGGACTCAAGAGTGTCGCCGACAGGGAAGTAGCACTTCGTCATGATTACCAGCTGCTCTCGTGGGATGTTGTATTTCCTGATAGCTTTCCCGACGATAACCTCACTGAGGCCGTTGGAGTAGGCGTCCGCTGTGTCCCAGGTGTTTATCCCCCTATCAAAGGCTTCTTTGAGGATGGGTAGGGCTTGGTCTGCTTCTATTACCCAGTCCAGCCATTTGGGGGTTCCGAACCCCATTGTTCCCAGGATGGGGACTGAAACAGAGAGGCCGGAGTTGCCCAGGCGTCTGTATGTTGCTTTTTGGGCGGTCATTCTCTCGTAGTGTGGCTTATGGTTTTTTGACGGTAGTTAGAAGGAACTGATAGAGAAGTAGCGGGAATAGGAGGTTTCTTAGCAGGATCAACCAGGTTGTAGAATTCTATGGCATATTAGAGTAATTGACGATCCTTTTATATTCCCATTTGAACACCGGACGACCAGAAGAAAAGAATTGAATTGAACTGTATAGAATCCCTCCGTAGGAAGAACCGAGCAGGTCCTCCGAACAGACCGCTAAGCCCCCTCAACCCCCGCTATTCCCACCATCTGGTACAGCCAGCACACACCCGAGCTCCACTCAGGTACAGACCAAACGGAGTTCCGAGAACCCCCCAAAGAGGCTGTCACCCGAGCACATAGGTTACCGCAACAGAGCCCCTACATACCATAGCCGACTACCGGTATGCACCTCCCGCACTCTCAAATCTCCCCCGCATCCTCATGCAACTGCATCTCACGAAACCCAGGCACCTTGTCAGAAACCAACAAATTAGAAGTCAACTTAAGCTTCAATCTGTAGGTCGCTATCACCCAATCAGATCGGATCCTGTCATGACTCACGGGCCGGTTTTTGTTCCAAGAATACCCGTACGCACCACCAGAGAGTAGGGTAAAACAGCCCGCCCCCTACCTTGCACCTATGTCGGTATGAATCGTGATACAGGTTTGGCTTGGCGAGTTAACGGAATCGCGAGAAGTCAATTAATGACTCGGGTTATACCGCGTCAAGAAAGCATCAATCCTTATTGATAACTTTTTTTTTTTTCCTCCGTGTTAATCTGTGCGCGCGAGCGTGGGATGTTGAGTGCAGTAGTCTAGATTGGTCTATCGCTTACGAAAGCGTCTTCCGCTTAACAGAGCGTGGGGAGGCTCGCTTAAATGTGGGCTTAACTGGATGTCGGTAGGCGCTGTGAGAAGCCAGATGTTACCATCATGCCGTCGAGTGATCCTGTGTGAATCAGGTCTGGAATGGGGGTTGATGCCCGGTGGCAGCATCAAGGTATCACGGTTTTTAGGGTTAATCACGCTCCGTCACTGCTCTTGGTTGTCATTTAAATCTCCTCGGTATGATACCAGCACCGAAAATTTCAGTAGAGCTGCAGCTTCCGTTTTTAGTCAATATGTACAGTTCTATCTCCTTTTAATTTCGGGGGGCCCCAGACAACAAGCAGTAAAAAGAGAAAGCAAACCGCTACCAAAGCCTCCTCCCTATCTCACACGCAAAAAGCCTCGTCCTCCCGCAGATGCGGGCAGGGGAAGACACCTACCACCCAGAACCATACTTGGATTTATCGCTCTTGCTCTTGTGATAATCCTTCTTGGCCTCATAGTCCTCCTTCTTTTTGGAGCACTTGGGGTCATCACAGTACTCGTATTCGCAGGTATCTTCGTAGTCGTCATAATCCTTCTCCTTATGCTTGTATTCGGAATGGTCATCGCACTTCTCGCATTCGGATTTATAAGCCCTGGCATACCCGTAGCCCTTGTCGTACTTGATTCCCTTGTCAAAGCCTGGCAAAGTTCTTAGCGGGACAACACATTTCAGGATTCGCTGGAGAGTGAAAAGAAGTACCATAGCCCATTTCAAAGGCTTTCTTGTCCTTCTCGACCTCGTGATCCTTGCGATAGGAATTAGTATCCTTGTAACGTTCATATTCCTTCTTATCATCCTCCTCGCACTTTTCGCTCTTCTTGTCTTCCTTCTTGTGCTCATCTTCGTAATATTTCTTGTACTTATCGTCCTTCTTGTAGTCCTTCTTCTCTGCGCTCTCCCTGACATGCACGGGCTTCCACTCAAACCCCTTACCGTCCCAGCCCCATCCGTAGCCACCCTTCTTGCCCCATCCGTAGTAATCCCTCTTGCCGCATCCACAGTCATCCTTCTTGTCGCATCCACAGTCGCCCTTGCCGCGTCCGTAGTCATCCTTCTTGTCGCATCCACAGTCATCCTTCTTGTCGCATCCACAGTCATCCTTCTTGTCGCATCCACAGTCATCCTTCTTGTCGCATCCACAGTCATCCTTCTTGTCGCATCCACAGTCATCCTTGCCGCACCCGCAGTCGTCCTTCTTGCCCCACCCATAGCCGCCCTTCTTGCCCCACCCGTAGCCGTCCTTCTTGCCCCATCCGTAGTCATCCTTCTTGTCGCACCCGTAGTCATCCTTCTTGTCGCATCCACAGTCACCCTTCTTGTCGCATCCGCAGTCATCCTTCTTGTCGCCTCCGTAGCCATCCTTCTTGTCGCACCCGCAGTCGCCTTTCTTGCCGCATCCGCAACCAGAGTCCCACCCATCCTTGCCACAGCCGCAGTCAAGCCCGTACCCAACCCCCTTGCCGCATCCGCAATCAAAGTCAAACCCCTTGCCGCATCCGCAACCAATGTCGTACGCAGACTTGCCGCATTCGCAATCGGTGCCGTACTTAGGCTTATCACATCCGCAATCAATGTCGTACCCAGACTTCTTGTCGCATCCGCAATCGTCCTTATCCCCGTAGCGCTTGTCGCCACCTTTATCGCCACCCTTATCGCCACCCTTATCGCCGTAGGTGCCTCCATACCTGAAGGTGTACGGGTGAACTTTGATCTCTTCGAATCCGACGCCTTTGATGGCCTTCCCAGGCCCCTCTAGAACCCCGTAGGATTCAACAGGGAGCGCATTTGCGAAGTAGGCGCACGCAGCGACAGCGGCAATGAGTGAGCTGCTGTACTTCATAGCGAACTACGTGAAGTCCTCAATCGTCAGTTGTCGCTCGGAGAGGCCGACCTAGCTGGGGTTGGTTACCAATGAATGTGTACGGGAATAACGAATGGAAAAATGAACTCAATGTGTAAATTGAGGGAGAATGAGAGATGTGGGTGTGTGGGATTTGGGGATGAAAGGGGATTGGGGCTTTATACACCCTCCCCTCGCCATACCAGCATACCCGAACGTAAGGACAGACCTGTAAGTGGTCTTTTTTTTTTTTTTTCACTTGAGAGAAGCCCGTCTAGAGCTCATGACACCCTTCCCGTAGCAACTACTCCGCCCGGCAGAACACACGGTCCAAGATAGGACTCTGCTCCATAGTAAAAGAAACAGTGTACATCTCAGAATGGCGATAGTTGTAAAAATAGCTCAAGTCTCTTCCTCCGGAGGGGAGCATTGCACGGCAGCTAAACTCAAACTAAGTCGTATCGCCAATCATTACCTTGCAGGGTCTCCAGACTGCCAAGCCAAGCGGCCCGGTTTGGATTAAATGACTCCAGATAGCCGTCAGGCCTCGTCGTGGGTGTTCACCGTTCACCGGCTGAGTCTCGAAAGTCCAAAGTACGTCATTAAAGCGGTTTTCTTTCTAGGCCAAAGCCTCTCAGGAGAGTCAAATATTCTCACATAATATCACTCGGATACCGGGAAACAGGAAACTCCCTGCATCTCCATCGTAAGTTCTGCCTTATTGATGACCGTCCAGCCGCCCCTCGTGGGTAACTCTGATATCATAGAGTACATCAAAACGGCCTCGAAACCGAGTTATCAGAATCCACCTCTTGCTCTTGGTCCCGACGTAAAAATTAGCAAGTTTGTCCTAAATCCCAAGAAGATGCATAATTGCTTCCTCTTCAAGGACTGGAACTTCAAAGATTCAAGTGCTATAGGAAAGGAACCGGACAATGGCTCTTCGGTTGGGAATTTCCCGAGGTGTGATGTACCCTAGTAGAAGTGTATAGAATGCGGTGGTCAGAGTGAACTATTCGCACGGTCGAGTTGAGGCCGGGTACTCTGTATGGGAATTGCCACCTTAGATGTCCGGCTTCAACTCGGCCGCGCGAGGTATAACAGCGCTTAATAGGAGCCAATTACCAAAGCTTCAAAGCCCTCGTCATTGGTATCGGACTGCCGGCAGTCCCGAGGTGCTGGTGAATTTGGAAGGATGGTATGGGAATATATGGAGCTTGTTCGGCCCAACAAGAGGCTACCGATCATAGACGTGGCGATCACTTCCACCGACAAGTTAGCCTACCCCGCAATGATCCACATTCCCCCGCGTAGGGGAGTATTAGCTACAGGCACCGTACCAGAATAATACGTCACTTCCACTCGGTAGAATCCTAACGAGGCCGTTCCAAGCTTTATTTGTCAACCCACGGCACCATAGATTCCCACCAAAGGTCGATAAAATTCAGGAGGAACAGCCCGCTCGTCGCTTCTTAACTCCTTAGAAAGGTAACTCGTTAGTCTACCAAATAGCGAGGACTCCACTCGACTAGCCGCCCTCGATATATCATGGCCCCCACGGTGCCTGTCCCATACCCCGCCCAATAGCTAGTGCGGTCATGGATCTCCGGAGGCCATCTCCAACGGGGTTTAGCTATGCTATGCTCTCCGCATCTTGGCATATATCGGGGGCGCGTTCCTCGTTGGGCGTGTCTGGTGGTGCAACGCCCTCTTAGGAGCTTGTGTCGGTATCAAAGATTGAGACATTAAGACCAGCGACACTCCGTCGAGAGTGCCTTGTGGCTTTTGTGCTAGGGCTAGGGCACGGAAGCACGAGTAACCTCTGGGACTGAAACAAACCCACACCGTACGTAACTTTAGTCCTTCTATCATATGATACCCCTGAAAGGGAAGGAAGAGACGAAATCTGACTTCCTAGGGAAGGGTGCTCATTGTTATTCAAATGTAACAAAAGCTATATCCGCGGTTCAAAATAATGTACTGGTACTGTACTGTAAAAAGGTCAGCGCTGCAACGCACGCTATACTACCCCAACCAAACCCCATAGAAGTAGATTGCAATCACCCGCTCACTATGATACAACAACTGCGGTGCAAATGATAAGTATTATTAAGCAGAAGAAAAAAATGATATAAATTAATTCTTGTGTACCAGCCTTCTGCCTCAATGACAGCTCTTTTTTTCATCCTTTCCGGCATACCAATACTTATCATTTGCATCGATGATGTATGATACTCGATGGCATTTCACTTGGGCTTCATCAGTGGTGATACTGGCCCGAATCAAACCCAGAGCTCTAGGGAAATAAAAACAAGACCAGCGCAACTGAAAATGAGGTGAGTAACTTGTCAGACAGGTTAGCTGGGGAATTGAATTAGTTAAAATGCATGAAATAAAAGTAGAAGTCTGAAAATCTCCCTACACAAGGAAGAAATACAAAGATGTAGAAGGTATTCCGGACAGTACATCATGTTACATTTGCCTTCTTTTACTTAACTGAATTCGGAGGCTTTATTTTGTCGGTTCACCCCCGCGTCTGATCCACCTCCCTGGTCCAATAAAGTAGCTTACAGATGTCAATGCAGAGCACAATCTGTTTGGGCGAAACCGATGCCGGTGTCTGAATTTCCTGATTAGTAGTCTACAGGTAATAGCTTTTAGTAGAAGCCCCTACCCAATAAAGTGGACAAACTTTGTAGGGCGGGCGGAATCACGCTGACCTCCGTAAAACCGAACTTGCGAAATAGCCTCCTGGAAGGAATCCCCCCCATCCACGAAATAGCTCCACAAAGTTCCAGGAAGCTGAGATCCGATGGACTGGTATCTCATCCAAACACAATACCGTTGTCATGTTGACAAAACCATGACCAAGGTTGTATAAACAGATTTCACATGCCTACTGTAATTCTTTACGAAGTAGGAATGGGTGTCATTATTCAGAGGTGCCTCTTGCGCCAAAGTAAACCTCACTAATAGGGGAGCGGTGGAAAAAAATACGTCAAATTAAAGACTGTAAAGAAGGTACTAACATAGTACATGTCATACATATCCCCGCACCTCAAAAAGAAAACTTCACACAATTTTTTTCCCAAGGCAGAGAGACAATCATAAGAACGCACAAGAATGTAGGCTTAAAAAACAGAATGATCAAAAGGAAGCACGGTTTTAGACTGGAAAATTCAATCAACAATCCAGAGTAGATAGAGGAATGCAAAACAATTTCCATGCTGCAACAAACGGCAACAGCACGAAACCCCCCACCATCACCCGGATATATTAATGCTCTACCCAAGTTTAAACGCATGCCCTTTTCTCTAGCTAGTTTCCCTTCCCTCGCAATGAATTTGAGTCGATTAGTACTCGGGCTCCTCAGCATCCTCACCAAGAGAGTCTGTGGCAACTTCCTCGTAATCCCTCTCTGTAAAACCTGTCAGTCATCATATCACTTCCGCATAAATTCATAAGATTAACTTACCAAGTGCAGCCAAGTCTTCTCTGGCCTCAGAAAATTCGCCCTCCTCCATACCCTCACCAACGTACCAATGAACGAAGGCACGCTTACTATACATGAGGTCAAATTTGTTGCTCAAAGCACTCCAGGCCTCAGCAATGGCAGTGGTGTTGGACAACATGCAACTAAATATCATGTTAGAAGATGCTAAAAAATTAGCGAAGATTTGTAACTTACACAGCCCTATTGACCTTTGCCAAGTCGCCGTTAGGAACCAACTGAGGTGGCTGATAGCAAATACCAATTTTGAAGCCAGTTGGGCACCAATCAACAAATTGTATGGTCCTCTTAGTCTTGATGCTGGCAACAGCAGCATGAACCTCCTTGGGCACAACATCGCCACGGTAGAGCAGGCAAGTAGCCATGTACTTTCCGTTACGAGGATCACATTTGACCATCTGATTGTGAGGTTCAAAGCAAGAGTTGGAAATCTCCTGGACAGAATTGGCCTCATGCGAGGCTCTGGCCGCTGAGATGACAGGAGCATACGAGACCAGAGGGAAGTGGATACGAGGGTAAGGAACAAGATTGGTCTGGAACTCGTTCAAATCGACATTGAGGGAACCATCGAAACGGAGAGAGGCAGTGATGCTAGAGACAACTATATAAGGAGTTAGCGGATATTTAATCTATGTGGACCCAGTATATTTACCTTGTGCAATCAACCTATTCAAATTCTCGTAGTTGGGTCGCTCGATATCCAAGTTTCTACGACAAATGTCGTAAATAGCTTCGTTATCAACCATAAATGAACAATCGGAGTGCTCAAGGGTAGTATGAGTTGTCAAGATAGAGTTATAAGGCTCAACGACTGAAGTGGATACTTGAGGAGCTGGGTAAACGGAAAATTCAAGTTTGCACTTCTTGCCATAATCGACGGACAGACGTTCCATTAGCAAGGCTCCGAAACCAGACCCAGTACCACCGCCGAAGGAGTGGAAGACAAGGAACCCTTGTAGTCCCGAGCAGTTATCTAAAAAGGATCAGTGGAATTTTTCAATACGGTAATTAGTTGTATTAACCAGCAACACGACGAATCTTATCCAGCACTTGATCAATTAACTCTTTTCCAACAGTGTAGTGACCACGGGCATCTGTTATGTGATATCAGTATTTGCCACCAAAGCAAACTCGCGAAAATAAGACATACAGTTGTTGGAAGCATCTTCCTTTCCAGTGATCATCTGCTCGGGGTGGAAAAGACTTCGATAGGTACCCGTCCTTACTTCATCAACGACATTAGGCTCCAGATCAACGTAGATTGTGCGTGGAACATATTTTCCCTGGCCTGGTAATGACAGCAGCAGTTAGATCAATTTCCCCCGGTACACAAAACCTAGCGTGTATAATTGTCTTGAACCCAGCAGCTGTTAACATACCAGTCTCGGAGAAGAAGGTGCTGAACCCAGTGTCTTGGGGTCCTTTTTGACGTTCCTCGGTGAGGTATCCATCAGGCTAAGAAAGCACTGTCAGCCATGAACATGCTTCACCAACTTCCGGGATTCCCAGCATTGAAGGTGGCAATAAGTTTAAGAGGCAATTTTATGCACCTGAATACCATGCTCAAGGCAGTACAACTATAAAGCACATAAAATTTAGCATTTGCAATATCAAAAAGTAGAAGGGTAGAAATCAAGAAAAGATTGCAAATGTGTTTACCTCCCAGCACGAATTGGCAATCTGAACACCGGCCTGACCGACTATATTGAATTGCTCGTCAGCGACCGACTACCGGAAAATTCAGGGGCTATCCTTTAATAAATTTTTGGGAAGGAATAGCAGGGGGATAACGAAGTGCGGGGGAAAGCCCACCGTTAAGGGAGATAACTTCTCTCATGATGGATTTCTGAGAATAGATGAAGAGGAATAGGGATGCGTTAGGTGACTCGTTAAAAGCGTGATAGAGGAGATGGAGAAGAGAAGGAAGAAGAGATGGCGAGAGGCGGTAGAAAAAGAAGGAGAAGGGGAGGGCGGGCGCGGTCTGTGGGTGGGTGTGTTGTTTTTTTGCGCGTCGAGGGTTTAGTTTGTGAGGTAGGGGCCACCTCTTAACCTATTACGGCTTAGCGAGGTCCCAATCGCTCTTGGGGTCTCTCTTTTTTTGTTGATATGCCGGGTTTTAGACAAAACTCTACGAGTACTGGAGGGACCAGAGCCCACCCACTTACCGTTACTCGAGCACCTACAGTATCTCCGTGCAAACCCAATACCCCCCCCCAAAAAAAAAGGCAGATAATTCACTCAAAATGTTTCTTGCTCGATTTCTTTTTCTCGCTCTTTTCTCGACTGCTGCACTGGGAAACATTGAGAAAGAAATATTCGTTGCTCCCTCGAATTCACAAGACCTGCTGTTCAATGGTACAAATACTGCGCAATCTACAGTGCTTGAGGCTCTGCATCCAGGACTCCTGAGACTCAGCCCTTCACATAGCTGCGAAGGCACATGCCATGAGCTACGTGTTACTTTAGATACTTCTTTCATAGGCTCCGGTGAGAGGCATTGGGTGGTCCTCGATCACCTTGAGCAAGGAAGGAGATATGAAGTCCGAATATGTTGGGCCGCAACGGTATTTCGCCCCACAAAACCCTTTGTTACAACCTAGTTTAACTACCACGTTTCAACCATAATGTTACGAACTTATTGATTGATTATTGAGTGTTCTTTTTTAGTCACCGATGGATCTCACTCTAAACATCTACACGGCACCCCAGCTACTCGACAAACCCTCACTTCTTGCGAATGTGACAGCTTATGCTACTCGTCAACTGTCATTTAGTCCTGCCAACGAGCTATCTGGTCCTTCTGCAGCTCCCCGTTCCGTTTTGTACCTAGATATACGAGCCAAAGCAGGTTATTATACACACGAAAAACGTCGCATGGAAATCCCAGATCCTGTTGAGGTTGAAATAAGTATGTTTCTACCATACTATCTAAGCCCACTAAATAACGAGTCTTAGCCGTCGATCCCTTCGTTCTTAACGTCCTTCCTGAATCCTTATTGCCGATTGCTGTTATGGTCATCCTCACAACACTCTCCGCGTTTTGGACAAGCGGAAGAGTTTATAGCGCTTTAAGGGACATTGCATCTCTAAAGCAGTCTCGGTACGATATGAAAACTCGCTGAAGTGCTGCCTTTGGCTATATTTCCGGGTGCAACAAAGCTAGCGGGAGTTTAGTACGCACTACGAATCTCATCCCAGCTTTTGAAAAACTGCGCTCAAATTGGGATTGATTAGGCTCCCCATCCGTAAATTTACTGCAATATTGCCGCTCACCCAACGGGGTTTCCTTAATGCAACTCTTCATTTTTCAAATAGTTACTACACCCCCATAATATTATTGCAGACTCCATCTAAAGAAATTATAAATTAAAACGAGTATACTCTACTGTAATGAACTAGGGCTCCTTTTGTGGGCCAAACTCGTGTTCACACCTGTTCGGCCGCACTGCACAATACGGTATGAGTTAAAACACTAACATAGATGTGACTAAGATCACATCTGCACACTGATAGTGGTCTATTGCAAAGGCTGCCGGCATTATTTAGAGGGATCTGCAATTTATAGGTGGGGTGAAAAAAGTGAGTGGGCACAAGCCTTGGCACTCTGCAAAACTCCATTGATCCAAGATAAGATAAAAGAAAATAAACAAATTACAAGAAGTGTTTACCAGCCCAAATGACCTTCATATCATCATTTAACCCCCAGAACACATATCATGCTAGTATAATAAATCTATCTATCTTCTACTCAATTATATTCCACTACCCCTATACAGCCTGAACTAGCCCATTAATTCCTTTTAGTCGTAGGTGCCATGTGCAAAATCATATTTTGAGATGTCATTTTAGAGTACATCAGACATTCTCAATGATGTTGAGGCCTAGACTATATCTGGGTCAGTCAGAGCAAACAATATTATTGCTAAGCTTGAATCGATAGCTGTAAACCGATATGGATGTGTGAGCATTCATGTCGCTTTCCGTTGATATCTTTTGGCATTTTGACTGAATGTCCAGGTAGGTGTTGTAGGAAGGTGTTACGGTCGAAATCAAGTATGCCCACTCACTTCTTCCACCCCACTTGTACCATGACTTTAGGATATTTTCCTCCAAGCGCTAGGGGGACTCGGGGGTGTCGGTATGGATCAGAAGATGTGAGAATATGCGAGAGCAGCAGAAATAATTTTACGATTTTTACCAAGCCCCCAAAGTACTTGGACATAGCATTAGCCCTAAGAACTACATTCACTATAAAGTCAATTAAACTGCTGATAGAAGATCCCGCTTAAAATTTGTTCAAGAAAAAAAAAAAAGTTGGAAGAGCTCTCTGAGGTTTCAACACATGAGTGATCGGCATGTCTGGATGCTCGCATGATCGAAGCTCAAGGGAAGTGCCGTAGATACATAATATCCCTGAACCCACTCCGAGATCAAACGACAGACAGTGAGTAGGGTGAGCCCTAGATATAGCGTGTGACGTTGGTTTCCCAAAGTAACACTTGCCCACACACTCAACAGACTGAACACCAAAATTTCGGCAACATCTGAACCAGACGACGACAAGTAGCATCGACAAACGCCCACTACCTTCAACCAATAACTACGCCGGCACGATGAAGTACATCCACAGCCAGGAGTCTCTCACCATCCCCGAAGGCGGTGAGTTTATTTCTCTCCTCGATTTTTGTTTTCGGGGGACTACGATGAAAATTGGGAAAGGGGAAAATATTTGGCAACAAGGGAAGCTGGGGGAAAAATAAATAAATAAGCGGGGAATTTTTGATTTTATAGGAGGGGAACAGGAATTGAAGGAGAACAAACGCTGACTTCCGGTTTCTCTTGCTATTAGTCGATGTTAGCATCCGTTCTCGCATCGTGACCGTAAAGGGCCCCCGAGGTGAGCTGAAGAAGGACCTTAAGCACCTCGCAGTTTCTTTCGAGAAGCCCTCTAAAAGCAACAACACGATCTTGATTTCACTCCACCACGGAAACCGCAAGAATGTTGCTGCTCTCCGTACTGTCAAGTCACTCATTTCCAACCTGATCGTTGGTGTTACGAAAGGTTACAAATACAAGATGCGCTACGTCTACGCCCATTTCCCCATCAACGTTAATATTGAGGAGAACAAGGAGACCGGGCTTGGTGAGGTTGAGATTCGGTAGGTGAAATTGCGAATTTATGCAGAGGAGGATGGCATAGATCTTGCAAGGGAGGATGCTGGAATGGGTGGATTGTTGCATCCGTGATGGCTATTTCAGCTCGCTTGGTCTACGCCGCACCTCTTTTGCCTGACTTATGGGTGACCATTAATCTGACGTTCTAATTATTAGCAACTTCATTGGCGAGAAGATCGTTCGCCGCGTAACTATGCACCCAGGTGTCAAGGTTGAAACCAGCTCGAACGTCAAGGATGAGATCGTCTTGACTGGAAACTCTCTCGAGAACGTCTCCCAGTCTGCTGCTGATATCCAGCAAATCTGCAGAGTTAGAAATAAGGATATCCGAAAGGTTCGCGACCCAACTTCCCGTCCAAATAAATAATAAGCTGAAGAAAGATTTGTTACCTAGTTCTTGGACGGTCTGTACGTTTCTGAGCGCGGTAACATTACTGAGGACTGAACGGTTGGGCGGTCATGGAAAGTAAAATAAAAATCTCTTTAACTAAATAAAATGGGAGTTGGGACATCTCAAAATATCCTAACTACTTTCTCTCTCTTTATTCTTTCGGTTTCTTGATTTTTTTCTAAAACGGTGTTATTCTCTTCTTTTTTTTTTTTCCATTCTTTCATTCTTTTTTTTTCAACGGGCTAGGTTAGGGCGGACGGAATAAGTATGATGTTCCGTTCCAGTCGACATATCCACCGTATTCAAGTCTTGTCTGGCGTGCCACTGTGCAAAAAAAACATTGCATTTCCTCAAAACAGGTTACGAACAGAAATGAAAACACCGCTTTCCATAAATATTTGTGATTGGGAAGCACTTGTCTTCTTTTTTCCTTTCAGCATTTCAGGGTTAAAATAGGTGAAAATTACTAGAGTTAAGACTAAGTTATAAAGACCTAAAACTTTATATTTCACACAGGTATGATATACGCCATTTTGGGATGATTAGGGCCACGGAAATAAGCGCAGATAATGTTCAGTTCTGTCTCATTCTGATATTATAGGCTATTCTTGATACTTAATATTAATAAGGAGAAAAAAATAAGGGGATAAAGTTGAATTAAACATCGTTAACAGCTTGTTTAACTAGAAATTATAGTAGTATTAAATTAATACATGTCAAATTAGTATGCCTGAAATTTTATCCTTTGCTATTTTAAGAGAGTTTCAATATGTAAAGAGAATATGTAAAGAGTTTGGTCATCATGTGACCTTAGTGAAATTATATATATATAGATTTCATGTATTGGAGTTACTGTAATAGAGGAGGTGGTTAGAAAACAAAAGAAATCTATGATACTGGTATCAACATCACTCATATTACTGTTCAATTTGGGATTTTTTTTATCTTTTGCAGTCAGGTTTAAATGTACTAGGATACAGTGATGACAGTGTCGGTCTCTTTGAAAAAACGCATGAAAATCTCTTCATTGTTAACTAAATAGAAACCCAACCATCTGGCCACACATTCGGGTTGGACTGTACGACTTCATGATAAGAGTAAAATAGTACTATGCATTTGGAGCATTGTGCTCGCCAAACATGCCTCTGCCCTTTAATTTACGCAGAGGGAAATCCGCCGTTTTTGTACTGTGCCAGACAAGGCCCAACTTCCAATCTCAAGTAGGTGATCAAGAGTTGGCGTTTGCTAGTTAGAAAAAAATATATGGTATTTATGCGTTTAGAGATGCTGGACGGGTAATTCTAGATTTTGGTCTCTCTGACTTGTCCCCTCAGGATGTTAGTTTTTAATATTTTTCGAAAGTTATGGCTCCACTGGATCTACATAACCACAATTACCTTTTCCTCGACCAACACTGCCGCGACTTCTGGGGTTGTCTGAGGTCCTCGAGTGAGAATCGATGAATGTACACCTATTATGCTGCGACTGAATAATAAAACCCAATGATAAGGAAAACCTCGAGAGTCTGCAGAAAAATACACCGTAACATACATACATTTCCTGGGACACCGGTGTCAAAAAAATCCTTTACCACTAAGTACAAATAACCCCGATCCACCAGCCCTCAGCCGTTTTCAGAGGTTCGTCCCGAAAGTTCGGAATTACGTTCAAGGGGACTGGTATTTCAGCATTTTCTGGGGGCCGGTTTGGAGCCTTTGACCAGCTTTCGCTCATCGTAATTTTCAAGATTGGGGGTGTTTGGGAGGTGAAGTGCTAGGGTCTGGTTTTATCGGCGTGGCTAGTGGAAATATCGGAGTGAGTTGTCTATCTTCTCTGCGTATAGGTCCTGGTCTCGCAGTCTGGCTGAATTTTCCTTTACCGCGGGAACATCAGTAGCGGTAGTTTCCCCCTCCTCCTTCTGCCTCGGCGCTAGTATATCCCCCAGAGGCTCACAAACCCCATTGCCACCTCCCCCAAGAGCCCGTTTCTTCTCTGTCCTCTTCTTCCTCTTTTCCCTATTCACGTTCTTACTTTCTCTTCCCCGTTCGCCATCCTTCTCATTACAATCCCCGAGCGCCCACCCCTTTGCTAACTTTCTTAATTTCTTCAGCCGCTCTTCACAGGCCCTTGGAGTACATCCGATCATTCCCGCTACCTTGGCGTGATCTACAGTCACTTTGTGTGCGTTCAGGATCGCGAGGAGGAGTTGTTGGTCTGCCGATGCTGCGGCTATAGTTTTGTTAGCCGAGCTCCTTTGTTGAAGACGGGAAGTACGCTGGGTAGCAGGGTCCTACCATCCCACTTCATCGCTGTTATTCCTTGCGAAAGTAGTAGATTATGCTCGGTGGAGTCTTGATTCAGATATGAGCTTTTGGAGAGCGTGTAGAGGTGGAGATATAGCTGTGAGAAAGCTGGTGGGGCGCTCAGGCCTGAATTTTGGGCTGAGCTGGGGGTTATGCAATTCTTCATAATTGATAAATGATGGGTCATAGGGGATTCGGGTTTCGGAATGATGAGGTTTGTGCATAGTCTGTACATGGGATGATGCACGAGATCATCCCTTGGGAGATGCAGGGATGCTCTGTGCAGTGTTTGCTTCCTGTTGCTTTACTTCACCGGGTTTGTGGTGGGTGATCTATTGTACAGCTGGTCGTAGAAAGCGTGTGGGCGAGATTCTGCCAGATCAGAATAGTGTGAATGGCGCTGCGGAGTATTGTAATACCTCTAGCACGGCTGGTGACACCACTTCCGTAGAGTGGGTGGTGGGTGTTGGTCGGCTCGGGAGTTATCTCAGGTATCATTAGCTTTTCCCAGTTTGTACCACAGCCGCACTGTACATAGGGTGTCACTCGGTGATTGTACAAAGGCGACATGGTCCAGGAAGACTCTGGGAAGTCTAGAGGGACCCAGTAGTTGTACTGCCAAATTATGTGGCTTGTATTGTACGGATAGACCCTTGTAGTTCTGTATGTATGCCTTTGACTGATGTCTACGCCGATACTTGCTATCTCATTGAACGATGCAGGCACCTTTATCACATGGAGTCAATAAACCCCAGTGTAAGAAAACAACCATGCTGTATATTAAAATAGAGAGACGGAAAGTTTATCCATTAAGAACAGAAAAGAGAAAGACCTCCACACACAAAATCAGTTTATCCGCTCCTAGCTAAACACCCTGGGATTGCGATCTAACACTCAAATACTCCCCTAAGACTACCTCTCGGCGTGTTCAACCGCTAATCATAAATATTGAATGTGAAAAACATGAAAAGAATATCCAAATTCAAACCCGATCTAACATCTAATGTGCTCAATGAGAAACGGAAAAGATACCACAGATAACCATCCCGGAGAAGTCACTCCACCACCTCGGGCTTAATTGGGCCATTCTCCTCCGGCTGCATAGCCAACCCACCTCCAATCGGTCCCATAGGGTTATTGTCGACATAGGACTCCTCCTGCATCTCGCGCACTACCAGCTCCTCTTTAACCCATGGGTCTGGCTTAACCACACCAATGTCAGCCAAACCCATCGCTATCTCGATCCCAGGTGAAATAGAGCCGATATCCACTGGCACCTCCTCTCCACCTCCCTCTTCCATTGATTCACCAACCCCAGCCAGAACCTCAACTCCACCCACATCCGCAGAAGTAATGCCCTCAGCAAACCTCTTCTTGTCCTCATCTTCATCATCATTGTCGCCCCCGGAAACCCCAGGCACAAACAGTGGAACAGTTGTGGTAGTTTTCGGTCTCTTCTTCCCTCCAGGGCCGCCCGCAACGGCGCCGGTGGTAGCAGTCGCTGCTGCCGTGGTCCCACGCTTCCGATTCTTGCTAGAAGGGGTGGCGGGGGGTGGGTTGTCCATTGCTTTTGCCTCTCGTTTGAGCTTTGCGATTCGTTCTTCTATTGCTTTGGGAGTGGCGCCAGGGAAGAGCTTTGCTAGTTCTACTGTGTCGTATGATTTTGCTGAACGTTCTATTAGGCGGATTAGGAGCTGGATTTTTCGCCCGTTTGTCAGTAATGGCTTACGGTTGGGGGTGGAAGGAGGGTACTTTGCGGTCATTTTCAGAGGTCCAAACCTATTTAAAGTAGTTTAGTTTAGATTAGTATTACCGGTGAAGAAGGATCAAGGGTAAGAAAGAGAACAAACTGGAGGAAAAAGATATAGATACTAACAACTTTAGGCATTCTAGCAGCCGCGGGAGGTCTAGCATTTTGAGACCTACATGCAGTCCGCAATCCCATCCTCGTGTCAGCAAGTCACTAAAACATCCCAAGAAGCCATGAGACCATATAACGTATTCAACAAATCCCGACAATGAAATAAAGCACCATACATTCTGAACTTTCCGACTCTATCGAAGTGACGATATCAGGAGCAGGTAAATAGTAGAGTAGCAAAATTTGGATGATGAAGGAAATGAAAGGGAGAAGAGAGAAAAGTTCTGATTCATGAGGTGTGGTGTTTGCTTTGTTTACGGCTTCTCGGGCTATTCACGCTTGTTGCGGTTACGGATGGTGAATATTGTGTGTTGCTCAGTGAAAATTTGTTGAAGAGGGAAAAGGAGAGCAAGTTACTAGCCGGAACCCAATGTAGGATTCCTTTTTCGCTTTCAATCCACGGAGGAGTGCAGGTTCATATATACTCAATTTCATTCTGATAAGTTTCCTGTCCTAATCACATAAAAACATATTACGTATTCAGTATTCAGTTACCCAGACATTTCTTCCCTCTCGATATCTGCTGTCCCCGCATGGGCGTTTCTGAAGGGCTTTGCTGTTTTCCTTGGGGTGGTTGGAGCAGCAGACTTTCGCTTGCGGGACGGGCCAGGTGGGGCAGCGCCCGGTTTAGCCTGGGCGCGGAGAGTCTTCGCCTCTGCCCTAATGTGGCGGAAACGGTGGACAATGCTGTCGTAGGTAGCTCCTTGGCCGAAGAGAACCGCTATCTCGTTGTAATCCTACTTTGAATGTTAGCAGGTTTCTTCCAGAGTCAACGAAAATAGAGGGGATTGCGGACGAATTTAAATTCCGGGTGGGCGCTCACTAGTGCCGCGAGGAGCCTTTGGCAGTTTTCGGCTGTCCAAACCACCATTTCTGAGTATTGTTAGCTTTGGGTCTCTTTGGGGAGAGGTCGTCCAGGGGATTTGGGG